AATTTTCACTCGACATCCACAAATTATACATCAAACCGTAGGGAATCTACCAGCCGGACAGAAAATGTTGACCTTGAAGCCGTGAGACGCTCACTTTTTTAAGCTACGAGGTTTTGTTCAGGAGGAGGTACCTGTTTCACCTCCATCCACCGGCATTAAAAAGAACACAAATGCTCCACATCCGACTGTTGCTTGTTTTCTCTTAACAACTTGCAATCCCGTCTAAATTATAGCAACTTGTCCTTCTGCGAAGGTGAAGCCCATTTTATCAAGACCTGACCTGGAAAAATTAATCCATGCTTTTATAACTACCCGTCTTGATTACTGCAACTCCTTGTACGTAGGGATTAGCCAGGCTTCCCTTGCCCGCCTGCAGCTTGTGCAGAACTCTGCTGCACGTCTCCTGACCCAGACCCGCAGGCGTGAGCACATCACCCCCATCCTGGCGTCCTTACACTGGCTCCCTGTTCAGTACAGAATTCATTTTAAGCTTTTAATATTTGTTTTTAAGGGCCTGAACAACCTTGCTCCACCCTATATTTCGGAGATGCTCCAGCCTTATTGCCCACCCCGACCCCTAAGATCAGCTGATCAGCTTTTACTGACGGTCCCCAGTACAAGGCTGAAGCTCAGAGGGGATAGAGCGTTTGCCGCTGCTGCCCCTAAGCTCTGGAATGAGTTGCCCTTGAAAATTAGACAGGCCTCCTCATTTCCTGTTTTTAAATCCCTTTTAAAAACGCACTTTTACTCATTGGCTTTTAGTACATTGTAGTGCCAACTGCTGGCATTGGGGACAGGGGGAGTGATTTGCTGAAATCCTGCTGTGTAAGAACACCTGCTTTGTCCTGATACATAGCTGCACATTGCCTGCCTAGTTTCTCTTTATTAAATTCGCCTTTCAGCTGATTAACACGGAGCACAATAATTTTAGGTGGCGTTTCGGAGCTACACTCCAGTGGGCTCTAGCAGCGCTGTCATATAGGGGGGAAAGGCAATGACAATTCTAAGGGCCAACAGCCCATCAGGGCCCACACAAAGCCCCCAGTAGCTTCTAAGATTAAATTATTATGCATAGGCTAAACTTATGTATATTCATTGGAATGAATCTGAACTAACATAAAGCTACAAAGTCACGTTATGTTTTAATTCTAATAATTTCAATAACCCCCTTGGCCCCCTCTTTAAAAATGGTTTTGGTCCGAAATTGAGCTGAGCTAACTCCAGCAGGGAGTGAGAGAGTTCAAGATGATGGCATCAAAAAACAGAAGTCTGGACACCAGAAGAGGGTAGAGAGGGAGGCCAGAGCGAGGAGCATCAAAGCAGGGGCCAAGAACATAAAACTTTCTTTTTTTCAAGAATGGTGAGAGTAAAACTACTGAGGGCGCCTACTTGTTCATTCATTCATTCATGTATTGTCTGTAACACGTACCTGACAGGGCGCAGGGGCTGTAGCTTATGTTCGCTGTCAATCATCGGGTGAGAGGCAGGGCTACACTCTGGGCAAGTTGCCAGTTCAGTGGTTCCTAGTGTAGATAACAAATGTTACTTATTTTGAGGCTATCTGCAGCTGACTGTGTGGTTCACATGTGTAACTGTCAGGCAGGGCTCTAGTAAGCACCAAGCACCCGCTCAGTTACAAAGCTACATTGAATTTTATTATGATGCATTCAAGTTCTACTTGGTAATTATGCACATCAGGTGAAGGTCAATGACGTTATCATGATGTGTTCAAATGTGGTCTTTCAAAATTGTGTTAGCTTTTAGTGGGACATTTAAAAATTCAAAAAAGTTAAATTTTCCAAGATTTGTGTTCAAAGTGATAGAAAATAAAATTCACCATAATGGCTGAAAATAACAAAAAGACAATTTAGAAATTTGGACAGTTTACACTGACTTTTGGATGTTTTTAAAAATATTTTTTGCCGGACAAGGGTGACATTACTCAAAAGAGCTTGCCCTCCACATACAATGGAAAAGTGAAGCTGTCTGCCTGAAGCTATGGTAGCCTACTGAGTAAGCCAACTTAGATTTTTGTATTCTTCATCAGTTTTCCCATCAAATGTAACATTTTATATTTACAAAAAGCAACATGTAATGGAGCAATAAAACTTTATGCTCTGCTGCTCCAGAATAAGCAGTGGCTGCTTCATCTGACCCAGCAGTAGACCCTCACCCCTGAGCAGAGTCCTGCACACTCCAAAGTACCTTCTTGTACAGGACGTCTGTGTTGGTTGACCAGTCCAGTTTATCGTTGAGGTGGACACCCAGGAATCTGTAGGACTCCACCATCTCGATGTCCAGACCCTGGATGTTCACTGGAACAGTCTGAGGTCTGAACAGTCCTCCTCCTGCGGAAATCCACAACCATCTCCTTTGTCTTACCAGCATTGAGCTGGAGGTGGTTTGTGCCACACCAGTTGACAAAGTCACTGATGACAGTCCTGTATTCCCGCTCATCCCCTGACGATACACATCTGACGATGGCTGTGTCATCAGAGAACTTCTGGAGGTGACAGCTCCCAGAGTTGTAGCTGAAGTCCGAGGTGTACAGTGTAGCGATTTCAAATTCAAAATAAATGTCGAGAATTAATCAAATTAAATTATGACATTTATGCACTCGTTGAAGGGGCACCACCCACCTTTCTGGTGGGAAAAGGACGAAACAAAGTTCAATTTAGTAATTAAACGTTGGATCAGTCTTAAACAGATTTAAATCAGTCTCTCATCTGAGGCCGGAATTCTTCATTCAGGGACTACTTTCTGAAAGACCACTAAGACGACAACTTAAAATTAAATGGACAATTTATTAACAAGCTATATAATAACAAAACGTCAATAAATGATGATCAAATAATGAGCAAATCAAAGCACATCTAATGAATAAACGAAGGAATGGTTTAAGTTAAACCTAAGACTGGAGGTTAATAATAGTGAGTGAATAAAGGGGAAATTTAACCTACGTTAACGGGGTTACGAGGGTAAATTAAAAAGGAATTTGGAGAACTAAACTATAACTTATGAGAGTAAGCTACTGAACGGTTGACGGCATCACCCAGTTCTCATCACAGCAATTTCGAGGATTTAGCCTACTTTGGACGTCGGTTCTCAGCGGCACTCTTGGAATGGATCAGCTGAAGTTCTGTGGCTACCGGACCGGATACTGAAGGTTCGGCGGAGAGTTCTTCCGCCGTGTCTGGATCTCAGCTTCAGGACCGTGTAAGCGCCGTTAGATACTTCGGATCTCTGGGCCTCTCGGAACCAGGTGGCAAAGCAGCTCAGCAGATGATGCTGGTCGGCGTTCAGGACTAGCTTGGTTGCAGATTAATTCGCGCCAATAACTTAAGAAAATAATTTCGCTGGCCAGCCGATATTATCTTCAGGAGTCACCTTAGCGAACAAAAATAAATAAAAAGACTTAGACTGAGGTTCTTTTATGCGCGCAGCTTGTTACTGAGGCTTTAAATAACTTGGGCATGTTTCATCCAAGTTTCAAAGAAAAATCTGAGCTTAAGGCAATTAATAAAAACGCGGGGAAAATTGCGAACTATAGACGGAGACAAAGAAAACTACGAAGAAGACAAACTAGACTAAAACAAAACAAGACTAGACTGACGAAAAACAAGACTGAAGAGGCGGCAAAATCTCAACTCTTTTAAGCGATTCACCGTAGGCGTGAACCAAAGATGAGAAAAGGGGGAGACCTCCCCAATGCAGCCCATCGACTGGCAGCGAATTAACTCAACTTGATAGTAAAAGCGAGCTAGATCTAATTTACTCACTCACTATGATTAAACTGTTTGTAACATCACATACGATCACATTTCACTTCATTGTTTCTTATGAGCAGATGCATTAAAGCATGACATTGAAAACAGTAAACTTTTGGTCAGCCGTCTTCTTGATAAAACAAAACAGGGGATTAACGACTTTTAAAAGTTAGAGAGGGACAGAAAACAAATTATCTAATCGAACAGAAACACCATCCAGCATAAGAAACACATACGTAATAATATTTGACAACACTATAACCTTGTCAATCAAGCTGCATAGATGATTAATATATATATTTGTGTGAGGTAGACAAAAACATAGTGTGGATACATTCAGAAACTCTTAACTTGAGTCTAAACGAGTTTCACGTTACTACTTCTAAACTACTAGCCTATCTTGGGAATACCATTTACTAAGCTACGAAGCGTATAAAACAAAAGGGAAGAAATACACATGATTAGATTCCTGCCATTTGGCTCTGATCAAACCATATTCAGGCATCACCACTAGGAGGAGCTCTTGGTCCATGGAAAACCTGGAATAAATTTGTGAAGAACAGTTTGGCTTGTGGATATGTTACAGAATTGGGAAAAAGACCATTTCATTAAGAATGTGGTGTACAGACAGAAAATTCTGGTGAAGTGTCCATTAAACATGAAGTTAAACCATTTTCAGGCATCCTCTTCCTTCTGCTCTGTAAAGAAAGCCAAGGAATTTTATGGCCGGTATCTGGATTTTTAGGATTTGGCGCCAAATGCTTTGTTTTCCCTTTTAGGTCATTGGGTTAATCCTGAAGTGTCAATTCTGATCTTTCCCAGCCAGGGAGAGAGACTCCGTGTTTATGGGTCTGTGTGGTTGATAAGCAACTTGTCCTTTTTGGGAAGCATTAAAGATTCACTATCACCTCCCAAATGGTTTCCTGGGTCGTAAATGGGAACTTGGTGTGCAAACCGTTTCTCCCCCATTTCCTGTCCAAACCAGGGGAGCCTGCATTCCTTTGAGGGGTGGATTCAATGTGGATAGCAGAAAGCAGTTGTCTCGTTACAAATCCCCCCTTCGTCTCGATGGCAGCTCCCGGAGCCATTGGGACGACGAGATGAGACGACCAGGTGGAAGCAGCAGTTAGTCCAAGGAGGGTGATGCGTCTCGTTCAGAACTAGCTACTTCGTTAGATCTACTGTATGTGTTAAGCCTACCAAATCTATGGGTGCAGGGTTACAGGAAGCTGACTACACCTCGAGCATGTGGCTCACCTGGTCTTCCTCTGGCTGTTCAACTCCCTGTTCCGTTTCCGGTTGTCTACGGAGTCGTAACCTAGTTACACACTGGTCTATTTTGTACTGTAGGGCTTTACCATGTTTGACGTAGATGAAGGTTAACCCGAAGGTCAGGAGATACCCTAACACTATGGCGGCTGCTAGTAAGGTGTCTGGGGTGGACCAAACATAGACTATAGGTTGCAGCGGGGACTTCTCTTGGGACCTTATGTCTATAAGGACGTCATCTACAGGCATTAGGTCAATGGTCTGAGTACCTGCATATTGGATTTGAGAAATAGTGTTTGGATCTAAGTGCAGCGTATGCTTGCTGAAAAACGCTGGCACTTCAATCTCTGTTTCGAATTGCTCAGGGTTGAAGTAATAGAGGGCAATGTCATCTATATGGAGAATGGCATTTGGTGGCACCTCAATCCACATGGTCTGATCCAGTAGAGAAATGCGTGTGGCAGTATCGTGCTGGTCGTAATTTACAATGGCAGTCTTGGTGGGGGTGTTAACTAACCGACGGTGGCCCACTCTTTCGACCTGCGTTACAGTCACTTGTGAGCGGTGTCTTGCTGTAGTAGGGCATTTGGTGTCGGCCACCATGGGCGTAAGGCCGCAGAGGCCATTAGTACTGTCCCACACAAATGGTTTACTGGGGCAGAGGTAGTGTATGTCTTTGGTTCGTGTGCACATACGCAGGTTAGGAGCTAGATATAGGTCAGGATTGCTGTCGTGGTAAGCGACCACTGGTGGGGTCTGAATTTGGAGGTGTGCGTCCTCTTTCCAAAACTCGACATTGACTACATCCTTTAGCCTATAGATGCTTCCTGATGCTATAATTGGCAAGTTAATAAGGAAAGCAATTTCTCTATCTTCGGGATTAACATAGATCGGCACAGCGCTACCTAGGGTATACGCGAGGTGGGCTTGTAAAGGAGTGGTGGCCTCTCTGGTTGCAGTTGATAGTAAATCCTGAACCAATGAGAGAGGTACCAAGTACGGAGGAATCCGGCCTGCAGCCAAGCTGTCTATTGAGGATGATATTTCTTGCAACATGTCTGACATGAGCATATTTAATAGCATTGTGTGAGCATAGTCGACCTGGACCACCGACAACAAAGAATTTACAGCACACAGCGTCTTATTCAGGACTTCTGTGTGGGTGTTAACCACCAGGACGGTGCCCTTGACTGTTTGACCAATAGTCTGCAGTTGTGTCTGCTGTCTGTTTATCTGAGCCCTGATGTCTGGGATTTCGGCTTCTAGCTCACCCACATGGCATTTGACGGCAGCTAAGCTAATTGACAGAGGAGAGCCCAACACCAAAAAGAGAGCCAACAACCGAGGCTGCGGTGAGCAGTGCTCCGATAAAACGCTTGGACCTCCTGTTGGTACCGCTTAACTCTGTTTGAGTGACAGTGAATTTCTGAAGTTGCTCTAACATGTAAGTAATGTCCAACTCGGCGTGATTTACGACCTGCCTACTCCAATGTGTCCCGGCCCAACTGGTCAGTTGAGCTGTTACCGGAACATTTTTCTTGAGGACTTCCTTAGGGTTGAGCCTGACAAACACCTTCTGTGTGTGCAGGCGACAGTCTGTTATCAGGAGTCCAGGCTGATCCCTTAACACAATTCCAGAGTCCGGTCCTGGCTCTACGATCTCAGGGCTAGCTGGAGCAGCTACCAAGCCGAGAATCAGGAGCGCTATCAGCCAAATCATCCTGAGGAAGAGGGTGGACATAGTTAGGATGAGTTGGTATAGGACAATCTAGAATTCAAATGCTCCCTGTCACTTTATTTTCTCCTCCCCCCTTTGTGACCCAAAGTGTGCCCGAGGGCAATTCAGTGGCAACAATTCAACACCAATACAGACGCACAAATAGGATAAACTTCACGTAGACACAATATCTATGAGGACTAGGGGACCTGACGTCAATCAGGAGAACTTGGGACTGTTCTAGTTTATGACTCAAGGGTGGCGCTGGAGGCCCCGACAAGTCCCATGGGGTTGTGGTGAAGTTTAATCTGGTTGCGGTGGACCCATTTAAGGGTCAGCTCTTTGTTGCCCTTTGCGATCTTAATTTGGTACACAACAGAAGAGAGCTTTTCAGTGATCAGGTACGGGCCTGCCCAGCGGGGCAGGAACTTTCGTGCCAGTCTCCCAGACTTTGGGGCTTTATCTCCAGTGGGCTGGGTGAACAGGTAGTACCACACCTTGTCACCCACTTGGAGTTCCTGTTGGGAGGCTTTTTGGTCATAGTAGGACTTGCATCCTTCAGCACTTTTGCTGAGATGCTCTTGGGTGAAGGCAAAAGTTGCATTCAGGTGCTGGTGTAAGTCAGTCATGTACTGATGGGCCGTGTAGGCCGTTGCTATACTGGCCTCACCTGGCTGATACAGCAGGTGCAGAGGTAGGGTCATCTGTCTGCCCGTCATCAGCTCGAAGGGTGAGAACCCGGTTGACCCATGTGGAGTCGCTCTGATGGCCATCAGGACCAAGGGAAGCTTAACATCCCAGTCCTTGTGGTTGGCTGACACATACTTTTTAAGTATGGTTACCACTGTTCGGTTTGCCCGTTCTACCTGTCCAGACGACTGGGGGTGGTGGCTGATGTGGAAGTTGGCTTTGACGCCCAACAGTTGCCACAGTTGTTGCATTACCTCTGAGGTGAAATGTGTCCCTCTGTCAGAGTCGACACGAGTTGGGAGTCCGAACCGCGAGAAGATGTGGTTCATCAAGAGGTATGCTGTGGTCTGAGCCGTATCGTTTGGGGCTGGTAGGCATTCTACCCATTTGGTGAATGCACAGACAACTGTGAGGAAGTATTTGTTTCCTCTTGCTGGCTTAGTGAGAGGACCCACCCAATCGATCTGGAGGTCTGACCAAGGAAAGGAGATACCTCTGCGCTGTAGAGGTGCTCGATGAAGTGGGTTTGCCGGTTGAAACTGGCAGCAAACCAGGCACCCTTTTATGTAGTCAGCTACATCTTTCTGCATGTGTGGCCAATAGGCCACCTGTTGGAGAGCATGGAGCGTGGCTTTGTTTCCTCTGTGTCCTGCGCACGGTGTGTCATGGGCGTATGTCAACATCACCCCCCTGTGGCTGCAAGTCAGAGTCAGAAAAAGCCGGAGCCACAGTGGCGGAGACCGGGCCCAAGGGAGCCGGGCGAGGTGGAGCTCGAGAGTGGGCCCTGGTGACAGCACAAACCAGGGGCACGGGTGGGAGGGGAAAAACCGAGGGCTCAAAGTTCCAGTTTGAGCCAGTTAAGGCCAGCTGCTTGGCTAAGGAGTCAGCCTGGTCGTTAAACATCTTGTCTGGACCAGGGATACGAGAGTGCCCCCTGACTTTTTTCCAGTAGATCTGGAGATCATGGTTAGAGGTCAAGAAGTCGCATGCCAGGAACAGATCTTTGTGTTTGACCGGCTTTCTGTTCGAGGTCAAGAAACCGTTGCGTTTCCACAAAGGCAGATGGCATGAGAAGCTGAGTCGCGCATAGTTGGAATCTGTACAGATCGTCAAGGCGTGGATTTTGTGTTCCACCGCAAGTTGCAAAACAATCAGAATGCCTGCCACTTCAGCATACTGGGACGTTTGGGCCCCTAGGTTGAAGCTGAGTGGTTCACACGGTTCATCGTTGACCCAGACAACACCCACGCCTGCTCTGAGAACAGTGTCGTGATGGTATGAGCAACCATCAACGTAAGCTGTAATCATGTCTTTGCAGACATTGTCGTTGAAGTACCGGTGGCAAGATAATTCAGGTGGCTCGGGGTCGCAGGTTGGGGACCCTGTGTCCGCGCTGTCTGTCAAGCAGCTTTGGCACGCTGCGAGTTCCATCCCGAGAGGTGTTTTGCGATTTTGGGCATAGTGGACCTCGATGTCAAAGCTCTGAAGAGCCATAAGCCAAGATGCTACACGAGTGTTGGTTACAACACCGTCTCTGATTCTTTGGCTGTTAAGGAAGGTCACTGGTTGATGATTGGTTTCCACAATCACCTTTTGGCCTCCAAGATAGTTGGAAAAATACTTCACAGCCCACACAGTGGTGAGAAGCGCCTTTTCACAGTCGGAGAACTTCAGTTCAGGAGCCAACAAGGTTTTGCTAGCATACGCGACAACTCGTTTATCTGAGTCATGGATCTGGTATAATCCTGCACTGAGGCAGTGACAAGAGAAACCGACCTCCAGATAGAACGGTCTGTTGCAGTCTGGGTAGGCAAGACAAGGAGCTGCACAGAGTCTGTCTTTTAAAGCTTGCATGGCGTGTTGTTGGGACAGTCCCCAAGTGAATGGCACATCCTTTTTCAGCAAGTTGGTGAGGGGTTTTGCTAAGTCTGCATAGTCCTCAATGAACTTTCGGGAGTAGTTGCATACTACCAAAAAGCTGCGAAGCTCTGAGACGTTTGTGGGAGCCTTCAGGTTTGACAGTCCTTGGATCCGACTCAGCTGTGGTTCGACACCTGTGGGACCAACCAGCAAACCGACGTAGTTCACCTTGGTCCTGCACCACTGACATTTCGACAGAGATATCTTTGCCCCGGCGTTCGTGAGCTGGTTCAGGACATGATCAATCTCAGCGAGATGCAAGTCCAGGGTTTGGCTCCTCATTAAGATGTCATCGACATATATAAGGGTGCCTCTCTCACTAGCATCTGGGCAGGCTTTGTTAAGAAAGATGTTGAACTCTGCTGGCGAGTTGGCATAGCCGAAAGGGCATCGGGTGAAGGTGTACTGCCTGTTGGCAAAAGTGAACGCCAGTTTGTGCTGGTCAGCTTCGTGTACTGGTATCGTCCAGAACCCTGATGCCACGTCAAGAGTGGAGAAGTATCTCGCGTCAGTGATCTTTGGCAGATCCTGTTGGAGCTGAGCCATAGGCCACCTGGAAAGGGGAACTTGTTGGTTCAGCTTTCGGTAATCGATGGTCAGTCGCCATTTACCGTTTGGTTTCAGTACCGGCCAGAGTGGGGCTGAGTAGGTACTGTTACATGGCCGAATGATCCCTTTCGCCAAAAGATCGTCTATGATTTCCTGAATGGGTTCATAGGACGCTAAGGGAATTTTGTACAGGCGTACAAAAGTTGGTGGTGCATCCGGTGGTGTCGGAATGCGGATAGAGTGGATGGAGGTTAAGCCACAGTCAAGCGAGTCTTTTGCGAAAGAGACTCGATATTTGTGTAGAAGTTTGCGAAGCTTTTCACGCTCCTCTTCGCCGTTCAGGGCGTCTGCCTCAGCTACGAGCTGTTCGACTTTGGCATCAAAGTCTGGATCGTGCTCAGGTGTTTGCACGGTTGGGAAGATAGAGGGTTCTACCCCGGAAGGTGTATGGGCCGTTTCTGGCTCCGAACTGATGCTTAGGACTTGCACTGTGTGCAGGATCATCTGTGAGTCCTCAGAGAGGTCGACCTGACAGATGGTGTCGTGGTCCAGCGGTACAGTTGGGAAGAGCGAGATAGCCCTGAAAGGTAGGGTATGAAAGACCTGTTCTGACGAATGGTCTGACATCAGAGAACGGGGCATTTTTCCTATTACAGGAATCCTCAATTCAAAGTCGTGGAACGACGTGCTGATCAACCAACCCAGCGGGGTGGATTTAGGGATCAGGATATCTTCTGATGTCGTGTTTTGTACAAGCAAGTGTGTGAATCTCGAGTGAAGCTCAAGAAGAGGAGTTGCCTGAGTACACAGCCCTAGTTTAAGAAAGAGCAACGACGGCTGGAAGAAAGCTTGAGTGTGCGACAGCTTTTGTCCACGTTGTAGGTTCAAGCGAATGGGAACGTTTGTGGTCATTGCAGGTACGACAATGTCAAGTTCATTGGCTACCTGACAGGCTTCAGGGATCGACTGTCCTGATATGATGTTGTCGACATCAGGGGTCTGGGTTTCCTCATTAACACTGGTAAGGGACCACAGTATGTTGTTAATGGTATCGACCTGGACTGCCAACCTGACCAGTATATCACTTCCCATGTAGACCTGATGTGGTAGGTCCGGGATGACCAAGAAGTGGTGAGTCATCTCCCTTTTGTTCCATCGCACAGTTAAGGCACAGACGCCTTCAGCAGTCATGATAGCTTTGGGAGAGTGTTTGGGAGAGACTTCCGGTCTGAGCGGTGCCATGTGAGGACGTGTTTTCACCGAGCTCCTCGCCAACGCTATTAATAAATCAAGAAGCAGCTATTTAATGTAAAGACCTCAAGGCACACTCTTAACCGCAGCCGAGACCTTGCACCGGGTTGGGAATTTGGACTCTACGCCAGCTAAAAATGTCAAAGAATCCCCGAAAAGCGCCTGACACAAGAGCTAGCTCCAAAGCTAGCCCAGAGGATGACGATGCTACATCTGCTGCTGCACCTGACCTGAGCAGCGGACATGAAGCTATCCTCCAAGCAATCGCCGAGCTGAGGGCTGAACTGCTCGCCAAAGCGGAGACACGAGCTACTGAAATCCGGAACCAGGTAGACCAGCTGAGAGCATAAATTAAACTTGCTACCGACGATGCTAACGCTAAAAGTGAAGCCCTGGATAAACGGGTGGTCGACCTGGAGTCTGCAGCCGACAGCCACTCCGACCAGATTACCTCTCTGGAGCGGGATATGGCTAATGTGCGGAGGGAGCTCGCCACTCAAAAAGCACGACAGGAGGACTTGGAGGCCCGGTCACGCCGCAATAATCTACGCATCACCGGGATAAAGGAGAGACGAGAGGACGGGAAGCGCCCGTCGGAGTTCATATCCCAGTGCCTGAAGGAAACGCTCGGCCTCGATAAGACCCCTCTATTAGACCGCGCACATCGCTCATTGCGGGTGAGACCAGGTGATACTGACCCACCGAGAGCCTTCATCATCAGATGCCATTATTACAGAGAGAAGGAGGAAATTCTGAAAAAAGCCGGGCAGATGAAACATCTAACCACGGGGGACGGCGATAACATCCGCATCCAGCCAGATTACACACAAGCAGTCGCCAAGCAGCGGGCAGAGTTTAATGAGGTGAGGGGCTTGTTGAGGACCTGCGAGGGAATCCGTTATGGCCTGTGGTATCCAGCGGAGCTGAGGATAACGACGTCGGATGGCGTGCGCACAAGCTTTAAAGACCCAAAACAAGCCAAGGACTTCATAATGAAAAACTTGAAGCGGTGAGATGTTCTACGTTCCATACAGCGGTATGTTTGATTCAGGATAGGGAACTGCCACCCTGTTAAAGACTTGTCTTAAGCCAGGAGGTTTTAAAATCTCCAGTGACAACCAGCAAAAGGTAAAAATCATATATCTTTTTGGCCCTGGCCATGGACAATACAGTACTGGGGGATTTGAAAATTTGTTTTATAATGTTCTACTGTTCCTGGTGACCAGCAACGTTTGAAGACATTTCACTGCTCATTTTAGCCTAACTGGGCTTTGTCAACATAATTTGGACGGATTAGAGACTCCATGTCCAGTGATAGCCAGCAAAACGTGAATTTGTGCTGGGTTTATTTTTTATTATAATTTTTTTTTTTATTCTATTTTTTTTTTTTTTTTTTTTTTTTTTATTATTATTTTTTTTTTTGTGTGTGTGAGCAGGGCGGATTGGTTTGGTTGGGATTAAGAATAATAATACATTTAATGAGGTTTTATAATTTTCACTGATCACCAGCCAAAGGTAAAGGCACTCAACTTTGGTTAGTAACATATCCAGATATTTTAGAGACTCCGCTGAAGTCTAATGTTGCTTTACAGTGCCCACTGTTTACCAGCAAAATTCACCATACATTTACTTACATTTTACACTGGTGTGGGGTTAAGGTTAGAGATAACCTGGTGCTATTTTGGAAATTTAATGAGTGTGTATTACATTTAATAACAATTGAGTTTAGCTGCAACATTTTATTTTGTTATTCATATGGTTTTGGTGAGACTCGATCTCATGAGGTAAGCATTGTTTTGTTGTGCGATAGTGTACGACCGGGGATACATGCAGCCTCTCGTTTGGGGAGAGGCCGGCAATGGGGTTTTGTGAATGATGGGTTCGATACTGTGTTTATTTTTTATTTTTTATTTATTTTTTTGTTGTTCTTATGTCTTTGTCTTTTGAGTTTTATTCTACGATGCTCTTACAGAGATTTGTCACTTGTCAAAGCATTTCAGATACTGGAACATGGCAGATCCTACTATTAGTGGTTTAGGGCGGGTAAATACGAAATTTACAAACTGGAACACCAAAGGGCTTAATCACCCAGTGAAACGTAGTAAGGTGTTCTCTCACTTATCGAAATTACGAACAGATATAGCATTCTTAACTGAAACACACTTGCTTAATGGAGATCACAACAGACTTAAGAGAGGGGTATTTTCTCAGATTTTCCACTCCAAATTTAACGCTAAATGCCGCGGCACAGCTATTTTAATTCAGAGGGATGTGCAATTTGTGCACACAAATATAATTCCTGATAAGGATGGCCGTTTTATTATTGTCCAGGGACATCTGTTCAATGTGCCAGTGGTTCTTGCTTGTGTGTATGCCCCCAACTGGGACAATGCAAAATTTTTCAGTGATTTTTTCTCTCTTCTTCCAGAGTTAAACAGTCACCAATTGATTATTGGGGGAGATTTGAACTGTGTGCTAGATCCCACGCTAGACCGTTCGAGAACTACATCTGGAACATTAAGTAAATCAGCAGAGGCCATAAATTCTTTTCTCCAAACGTATGGGGTGGTTGATGCATGGAGATACAGAAATCCAGTTTCAAGACAGTATTCATTTTTCTCTCCAGCGCACCAATCATATTCCAGGATAGATTATTTTTTGCTGGACAAAAAACTCCTCCCTCTACTGAGATCTAGTGAACATGAAGGCATCGTTATTTCCGACCATAGCCCAGTAACAATGGCGCTTTGCTTTTCAAATAATGAGCCTCCACAACGTACTTGGAGACTCAATCCACGTCTTCTGGCTGATGAAGATTTTGTTAACTTCCTATCAGCACAAATTGATTTTTTTCTAGAAACAAATCAGTCGCCAGAGACAAGACACTGCATTCTATGGGAATCGATGAAAGCTTATTTACGCGGCCAGATAATATCCTATAATGTAAGTATGAACAAAAGACGCTCAGCACGCCTTAACGAGCTCATCTCTTTGATAAATGAGGTTGATCGTAAAAATTCAGAAGCTCCATCTGCTGACCTTAGTAGGGAGAGAATAGGTTTGCTAACAGAATTTGACACCCTCTCGTCTGGAGCGGCTGAGGAACTTCATCTCAGATCTCGTCAAGAGTTTTATGAGCATGGGGAACGAGCCAGCAAGTTACTTTGCCATCAGCTAAGACAATCTGCAGAGGCTGGACTTATTGCAGAGATTAACACTCCAGATGGGATAACCACAGATCAAAGAGGCATAAATGAGCAATTCAGAAAATTTTACAAGGACCTTTATGCCACTGAAAATTGCGATAAGGCTAAGTTAGCTCAATTTTTCAATAGTCTCGGAATTCCAACAGTGGGTCAACAGGATAGGACAGATTTGGATAGCAACATCTCAGCAGCGGAAATTGATCGGGCAATCAAACGGATGAGGAGCGGTAAAGCCCCTGGGCCGGACGGCTTCCCGATTGAATTTTTTAAAAGATTCTCAGACAAACTAATCCCTCTTCTAAAAAATGTTTATGCTGAAGCACTTGAGCATGAGACGCTCCCCCTACAATGAACCAGGCCACCATTTCCGTCCTTCTTAAGAAAGGAAAGGACCCCCTGAAATGTGAATCTTATCGTCCTGTAAGCCTACTTTGCTGCGATTACAAGATCTTAACGAAAGTTCTGGCTAGTAGATTGGAGTCTGTCATACATACAGTGGTGCACCCAGACCAGACTGGTTTTATTTAAGGGCGGCAGCTCTTTAGCAATGTACGTAGGCTTTTTAATATTCTTTATTCTCCGGATAAGTCACAATCAGCAGAGGTCTTGCTCTCCCTCGACGCACACAAAGCGTTTGATCGTATTGAGTATGAATATCTATTTGCAACATTGGAGAGGTTCGGTTTTGGACCAGTCTTTTGTTCCTGGATAAGAGTCCTGTACACTGCGCCGCTGGCCTCGGTCCGCACTAATAAGATAATTTCCAAGTATTTTTCTGTATGTAGGGGGACCAGACAGGGCTGCCCCCTGAGCCCACTATTATTCGACCTGGCCATTGAACCGCTAGCAGTTGCACTAAGGAGTACTGGGGAGATCAGGGGTATTGATAGGGGGGGCAAACTCACAAGCTGTCTTTATATGCGGACGACCTGATACTCTATCTGTCCAACCCTTCTATTTCTATTCCGAAGGCATTAAAAATTATCTCTAGCTTTGGGGAAATATCAGGCTACAAAATCAACCTTACTAAGAGTCTCCTCTTCCCTATAAATGACTACGCTCAACAGATGTCCTTCAACATATATCCACTAAAGGAAACTCGTGACACTTTTACATATTTAGGCGTATCAGTAACCCGTAAATATAGTGATCTATTCAATCAAAATTTTAAACCAGCCCTAGAGAAGGCCAAACAGGACCTTGTCCGTTGGTCATCACTGCCCATATCACTTGCCAGCAGAGTCAGTTCTGTTAAAATGACAATTATGCCCAGGTTCCTATTCTTGTTTCATACAGTGCCGGTCTTTATCCCAAAGTCCTTTTTTAAAGAGATAGATAAATCCATATCCGTCTTTGTATGGAATAAAACCATCCCACGGATAAGGAGGGCGCATCTTGAGAAACAGAAAGAGGCGGGAGGTTTAGCACTACCGAATTTTCTACAATACTATTGGGCGGCTAATATCTATAAACTGTCATACTGGGTCTCTGCATTCTATGAAGGGGACGGACCTGTATGGATTGAAATGGAACAACATGCTACCTACTCTATGTCCCTACCTTCTTTAGTATGTGCGCCACTACCACTCAGTAAACAGCGTCTTACAAACAACCCTATTGTGAGTGGCTCACTACGAATATGGTCTCAATTCAGGACCCACTTCAAACATAGACAGGCTATGCCCTCTCTCCCAATCTCGGCTAATGCACTCTTCCCGCCCTCACTCATGGACACAGCGTTTAAGTTATGGTTCAGGAATGGTCTTAAACGGGTGAAGGATCTTTTTAAGGACGGTGTGTTCATGTCTTTTGAGCAGCTTGGGAGTGAATATAATATTCCCAGATCACATTCATTAAGATATTTGCAGGTGCGCGCTTTTGTACGGAAGCATTTTCCTTCCTTTCCGTCACTTTCACGGAATGACTGGGTAGATGAATGTTTGAGTGGGGATCCGGACCAAAGAGGGGGAGTGAGCAGACTATATGAGAGTATTCATTTGATCACCTCTCCTTCACTTAATAATATTAGGGCAGCATGGGAGGAGGAACTGGGATTTGAAGTTTCGGATGATTCCTGGCAAGGTGCAATTAGGAGAGTACACTCAAGCTCAATCTGTATCAGACATGGTTTGCTCCAGTTCAAAGTGCTCCACAGGCTACATTTATCTAAAACTAAATTGGCCAGGATATACCCAGATGTGGATCCAACCTGCTCCCGATGCTGCCAGGCTCCGGCCACCCTCTACCACATGTTTTGGACATGTCCAAAACTAGTACAGTTTTGGTCCTCAATTTTTGACACATTCTCTTATATTTGCAACAAAGACATAGGCCCTGCCCCTGAAATCGCATTGTTTGGTGTGGCCCCTGCTGAGGTGGCGATATCTAGGGTACAGTCGGATGCCATCGCCTTCTCATCCCTACTAGCTAGGCGCCTTATTTTGTGTAACTGGAAATCAGTTAGGCCTCCCACGCACAGGCGCTGGGTGGGGGATGTAATGGCGCATTTGAAACTTGAGAAATTGAAACACTCAATCAGGGGATCAACCCAGAGTTTTTACAATGTCTGGCAGCCGTTTTTGAACTACTTTAATCTGGAGTTCCCAGCTAGGGACACTGAGACTACTACTTAATTGACTCACAATCTCTGTAACAGGTTTAAATCTGTACACTTTATGTTTACTTTCTGTTATCGATGTCATTATTTTTTTGTAAAATTTTTTTTTTTATTTTTATTTTTTTATACATTTTTCATTTTATACGTGTACGTTATATTGTTACTGTTGCTCTATTTCTCATGTATATTGTGACTGCGGTTTGCAGCCTTGTTGAATGTGTTGTATGTACTTGCAGTATAAAAAGCCAATAAAAAAATAATAATATGATAGCTTTAGGAAGGGAGTCCAAGGGGAAGCGAAATGCTTTCCGAACACACTGGAGGTTCGGGTCATCCCTAGATAAGGCGTCGTACAGTTCACGGCTGATGGCTGACTTGTCAGCCCAAAGAGCCAAAATCACATCGTTGACGTGATTCTCATTCAAGTTGATGCCTTCAGTGATCAATGGCCCGGGCGTGTCGGGTCCATTGGTGTCATTGAATTTGCACAAAAATGTGTCCCTCTTTATGACTGAGTCATCGAAAGGCCACGAGCAGGGTTGTGGCTCATCGTCAGTCAAGTAGGGTCGCTCCGGTGAGCTTACACTTGTCGGTGTGCTTGTAGAAAGTTCACGCGTCAGGGCGTAACACTGAGCCCGATTTCTTGTCGGTTGCTGGTATGGGTAATGGTCTGCGGACCTGTGCCCATATTTTCAGCTGTCGATAATCGATCAGGGGCTCAAACCGCTTAAGAAGGTCTTGACCGATGAGGAAAGGAATCGACTCAAGGGGTATACAAGGGGTGCATGATTTTCATTGGTCCAATGGAGATGTTCAACATCGTCATTGTTTTTAAGGTCGTATTGTCTGTGGAGTACGGCCGAATCTCCATGGCGCAGGGCTGCAGCTTGATGTCCCTGCTGGACTGCTGCACCATATTGCGCAAGCGGTTAAAGAGCGTGGAGGACATCAGAGTGATGTCAGCAGCAGTGTCTAAGAGTGCTTCGTGTTGAAGTTCATTTTCAAGGACGGTATTAACATAAAACTTCTGTGAGATGCCTTTCTCAGTGAGGTTGCACAAGAATTGGAGGAAAGGTGGTTCAAGCCGAATAAGTGAGGAGTCTTCTTCGGCTGGCTCCTCTGCGGAGTTCGCCTGTACTACCAAGACGGCGCTGGTAGATGTCGTTTCTTGTGATGTGTTGTCCTGAGGTTCAAGATCGACAGGAGTGTCAGCTGGTGAAGGTGTCACCTACTCCTGTAAGGACATACACATGTCCTCCTGAACTGCAGTCTGCTGGACAGGCATCATGTTTGGCTCAGAAGTGTCATCCTGGACGACGGCGACAGCGACAGAGAAGAGATCTGCTTTCTTATCTCCTTTTCTCTGTATTCTACGGATTATTTGTCTAAGGAGTTTGCGTTCTTCCTCTGTCAGATCAGAGGACTTTGATTCACCCTTAGATCCACCTTTAGATCCAGTACCCTTCTGGGGAGGGTCTGATTTGGCCTTTGTACCCATCTCTTCGTCAGAAAGTGCTGACTGAGACTGCGGGTAAGGTCGCTCGGAGTTTCGTTCTCGGCGTGGGCCATAACGATCTGATCGGTCTCTCCACCCCCTGTTGTCAGGTCGGTAGGGCCGATGGGTGTCATCCCTTCTAGGGTGAGCCCCATCCCTGCGAGAGTACGAGGGTGGACGATCTTCGTCAAATCTGACCTGGTGTTGTTCACTGTCAGACCGAGGCTGCTTCAGGTTTTGACCTTTATCAGCTGGCTGATATCGGGAAGTTTTCAGATTCTGGGTTGGTCGGGCTGTTGCAGTTTGAGGTGCATCTGAATGCGCACCCACGGCACCGCCCTCCAGATCTAGGGGCATGGACCTTGTGTCCACAGCCAAGACAGTACCAGGTTCGGCTTTCTTAGATTGGGTGTGTCGCTGTTTAGCGAAGCCTTTTACAGCCAGTTCGCGGAGCTGTCTGCTGTTTAAGGTTCGGGGACAAGCAGCAACACCAAGATGATGACTCGTGGTCGGATGGAGATTTTGAACAAACAAAGTCTTAAAGTTTAGATCTTCCTCCATTTCAGGTTCATTTTGACAACCAAAGTAAGCCTGGCGAAGGCGACTGTAGTACGACTGGGGAGATTCCTGTCTCTCCTGTTTGACTAACAGTGCAGCTGCAAAACCAGTGGGTGTAAGGGAGTCAGAGAACTCGTCAATTAATGCCTGACACAGCAGGTCATAGTCGTTCTTGACCCGATGCGGTTGTCGTTCAATGAAGCTGCTAACCTCTCGATTGGAGGTAGCTTTGATCAAGTAGATTTTGTCATCCACAAGAGCACCTGGAAACTTCTGCAAGTAGAAGTCGATGTCTTTCAAGTAGGTGCTTGGGTCTTCTGAACCTTTTCGACCGGGTTCAAATCGTGTGATGTTACGAGCCATCTTGTCCAGATCCCTGTCTGTGGGATATGCCGCTTGATGAGCAGCAGGCGTGGACTGAGGTTGGTAACTCAGGGAACGATACCCGGAAGGTGTTGGTTGGTGAAGGGGCGACAAAGTATGACCCGAGTTCCGTCCGGTGTCATCCGGACTTGATCGACCTGAGGACACGACTCGGTCGAAAGGTAGGGAATGGAAGCGTCTGTTGACTGCTTGGCGAGCTTCGCCCGCTCTGATCTTGCTGGGGTTGACCCAGACTAAGTTTCCTCTGAGTCTCGAGGAGCATTTGCTTTAGATTAGCAGAATGTCTCTCTTCTGCTTCGAGGGCCACCCTTTTGCTTTCAAACTGGGCCTTCCAGTCCCTTGCATCAGTTGAGGACTGATCTAGGTTGCATTTCACTCTTGACAACTCCTGTAATTGTTCATGAATGGTGGACCTAGCGTCCGAAAGCTGAGCTTCCTTTTCCTCAATGGTGTCATGCAAGTCTGAGATTTGGGTTACTAAGGAAGGGTTTTGATCATGTTGGGATGAAGGCTCTGCTTGCATCTCATCCAAACGGTCTCGAGCTTGCTGTAGAGCCCTTTCAGTGCCTCCCAGCTCCTCTTTGAGATCATCAATTTCCTTCATTTGTGCCCGTATTTGTTCTTGGGCCCTCCCCATGGCTTCGTCTTGTCTCTTAATTTGGACAGACATCACACAAGCCAAGCGTGCTAAAGCTTTGGGGATCTCTTTCTCTTTAGGTGGGTGTTGTGTGACCCAATCGATCACCTCATTCAACACAGTTTGAAGTCCATTGTTATCAGTGCGATTCGCTTCGTCTACATAGCCTGAGAGCAGCGGCTGAGTCAGAGTTGTCAGCGCATGCTTTAGCTCCTCACTGAATAGTTGCCAACCTGCCTCCTAACGTTCTGCCATGTTGCTTCAAGTTTAGTAAGGTTGGTAGGTTAATGAGTTTAACAAAGTAGCCGTGCCTATAAAGCAAATTGAGAAAAGCTGTGAATTTAGGACCAGAAGATAAGCGCTTTAAGCAAAGTCTGGTTCACGATAAAATAGCTGGATGTTTATTTCCGGAATGAAACAAACAAAGGAAGCTAAAATAGAATTTGGATTTTAGCTGAAAAGGAATTACGTACAAAAATCAAACCTAATCACAGCCAAATCTCATAGTCCAAACCGGATTTGGTCAAATAAAATTTACATAAAGGAGTACAGGGAAACCTTTAAAGTAAATAGCGGATTGTCAGCTAAGTGTGGAAGGAAGGTAAAAGCTGACAGTAATCAGGGTCAACGATGCAGTTGTAGATGCATTTAAATCTTTCAAGTCTTCACAAGATAATCAAAGTAAAATTGTCCAAATTCAATTGACCAAAAAGGAATAAAACAAAAATTCTGATCGTAGGTTGATTAGGCAATTATTGAATTAATTGATTAATGTTACATTAATGAATTAATTAACTATTGTCCTAAGTCTGTGATCACATTTAAGTGTTTTATAAAGGGTCAAAGAAAGATGGGGGCAATGAACAATGATTACAGGATGACAAAGATTTGATTCAGCTATTCTCCTTGATAAGGCAGGTGATCTATCTGTATAAAGAAAAGATAAAAGTTGTTTATCAAGTAAATCAACATTTTATTTGTAGTACAGAAAATAAAACTCAATCAACCAACTCACTCTGACTATGTCTGCATGGCATCTGTTTGACAACAGGGAGGCGTGGCAGTCGGCTAGACTGCAGTCTGTTTACAATGAGGTCCAAGCAAAACAAAGGCCACGTGGCTGTGAGCAGTTTGCAGTGCTTGCCGCTCACCACACGAGGGCGATGTTCAAGGGGGCGGTTCAACCGCTCCGTATGTCGCGACGCGACGTTATGACGTAGCTATTGGGCTCCACCCCTCTGGGTGGCGTGCCTATTCAACACTGATCGAGTAGTCTCTCTAATGGACACTAAAGGGTTAACACCTCACTGCGGCTGCGCGCGCAGTGGCAATGGGAAAATTCAACGCTGCGTCTCTAACAGCGGATTGCTTCACTAGACTCCTCTGGGAGTAACAAGAGTTTACACAGACAACAGCAGACAAAACTGCGGACTTAAATTCACGAAATGCGGCGATTTGTGAAAAAGAATCGTGTCTGAAATCACTCTAACAACCTCTCACTGGAAACAGTGATCTCTCGCGACAGGTAGCTAATCTGCCGGGGGAATGAGGAATAAACTGAATCCTTTACAGTTACTAGAACTTCGTAGCAGACTATACAGGGTTCAGGGACTCGGAACCACGGCTCGGAGCTTCACGAACACCGGGTCCGGCCCAAGGCCTTCTAATACAAGCGTACGCCGACGCTGAAAATCATGCACTCAAAAGTTAACAATCTGGGTACGCGCGGCGGCGGCGCGCAGAGCAGAAAGCGCAGCCTCGCTGCAATCCAAAGCAATGATCCATGTGGTCTAGGCTCACACACAAACGTATGCAGCAGCAAAATCAGCGCTTTAACACAGAGCTCAATATCATCAGAACATGAAACAGAAATTCATCAAACGCCCAGTTCAGCAATTTCAAAAAGCATCAGACATACATTAAGCAAACCAATCCAGTAATTTCAGCAAGCATAGCATAGATTTTAAGGAGTCTAAGTTGGGAAAGTTGGGTTTCTCACTAGTTTGGGAATCTAAAATAATCTTAAAGTTGTCTGTTAGTGCCTTACAGAAGTCGTTTGAACGAGCCTCACACGGGGCACCAAAACACTGTAGCGATTTCAAATTCAAAATAAATGTCGAGAATTAATCAAATTAAATTATGACATTTATGCACTCGTTGAAGGGGCACCACCCACCTTTCTGGTGGGAAAAGGACGAAACAAAGTTCAATTGAGTAATTAAACGTTGGATCAGTCTTAAACAGATTTAAATCAGTCTCTCATCTGAGGCCGGAATTCTTCATTCAGGGACTACTTTCTGAAAGACCACTAAGACGACAACTTAAAATTAAATGGACAATTTATTAACAAGCTATATAATAACAAAACATCAATAAATGATGATCAAATAATGAGCAAATCAAAGCACATCTAATGAATAAACGAAGGAATGGTTTAAGTTAAACCTAAGACTGGAGGTTAATAATAGTGAGTGAATAAAGGGGAAATTTAACCTACGTTAACGGGGTTACGAGGGTAAATTAAAAAGGAATTTGGAGAACTAAACTATAACTTATGAGAGTAAGCTACTGAACGGTTGACGGCATCACCCAGTTCTCATCACAGCAATTTCGATGATTTAGCCTACTTTGGACGTCGGTTCTCAGCGGCACTCTTGGAATGGATCAGCTGAAGTTCTGTGGCTACCGGACCGGATACTGAAGGTTCGGCGGGGAGTTCTTCCGCCGTGTCTGGATCTCAGCTTCAGGACCGTGTCAGCGCCGTTAGATACTTCGGATCTCTGGGCCTCTCGGAACCAGGTGGCAAAGCAGCTCGGCAGATGATGCTGGTCGGCGTTCAGGACTAGCTTGGTTGCAGATTAATTCGCACCAATAACTTAAGAAAATAATTTCGCTGGCCAGCCGATATTATCTTCAGGAGTCACCTTAGCGAACAAAAATAAATAAAAAGACTTAGACTGAGGTTCTCTTATGCGCGCAGCTTGTTACTGAGGCTTTAAATAACTTGGGCATGTTTCATCCAAGTTTCAAAGAAAAATCTGAGCTTAAGGCAATTAATAAAAACGCGGGGAAAATTGCGAACTATAGACGGAGACAAAGAAAACTACGAAGAAGACAAACTAGACTAAAACAAAACAAGACTAGACTGAAGAAAAACAAGACTGAAGAGGCGGCAAAATCTCAACTCTTTTAAGCGATTCACCGTAGGCGTGAACCAAAGATGAGAAAAGGGGGAGACCTCCCCAATGCAGCCCATCGACTGGCAGCGAATTAACTCAACTTGATAGTAAAAGCGAGCTAGATCTAATTTACTCACTCACTATGATTAAACTGTAACATCACATACGATCACATTTCACTTCATTGTTTCTTATGAGCAGATGCATTAAAGCATGACATTGAAAACAGTAAACTTTTGGTCAGCCGTCTTCTTGATAAAACAAAACAGGGGATTAACGACTTTTAAAAGTTAGAGAGGGACAGAAAACAAATTATCTATTCGAACAGAAACACCATCCAGCATGAGAAACACATACGTAATAATATTTGACAACACTATAACCTTGTCAATCAAGCTTCATAGATGATTAATATATATATTTGTGTGAGGTAGACAAAAACATAGTATGGATACATTCAGAAACTCTTAACTTGAGTCTAAACGAGTTTCACGTTACTACTTCTAAACTACTAGCCTATCTTGGGAATACCATTTACTAAGCTACGAAGCGTATAAAACAAAAGGGAAGAAATACACATGATTAGATTCCTGCCATTTGGCTCTGATCAAACCATATTCAGGCATCACCACTAGGAGGAGCTCTTGGTCCATGGAAAACCTGGAATAAATTTGTGAAGAACAGTTTGGCTTGTGGATATGTTACAGAATTGGGAAAAAGACCATTTCATTAAGAATGTGGTGTACAGACAGAAAATTCTGGTGAAGTGTCCATTAAACATGAAGTTAAACCATTTTCAGGCATCCTCTTCCTTCTGCTCTGTAAAGAAAGCCAAGGAATTTTATGGCCGGTATCTGGTTTTTTAGGATTTGGCGCCAAATGCTTTGTTTTCCCTTTTAGGTCATTGGGTCCTGAATCTGGTCCTGAATCCTGAAGTGTCAATTCTGATCTTTCCCAGCCAGGGAGAGAGACTCCGTGTTTATGGGTCTGTGTGGTTGATAAGCAACTTGTCCTTTTTGGGAAGCGTTAAAGATTCACTATCACCTCCCAAATGGTTTCCTGGGTCGTAAATGGGAACTTGGTGTGCAAACCGTTTCTCCCCCATTTCCTGTCCAAACCAGGGGAGCCTGCATTCCTTTGAGGGGTGGATTCAATGTGGATAGCAGAAAGCAGTTGTCTCGTTACAACAGGGTGAAGAGGAAGGGGGAGAGCACTGTCCCCTGTGAAGCCCCCTTGCTGCAGACCACCATGTCCGACACACAGTTCTGAAGCCTCACAAACTGTGGTCTGTCAGTGAGGTAGTCCACGGTCCATGCGACTAGGTGACAGTCCACTCCCATCCTCTCAAGCTTCCCCCTGAGCAGTATAGGCTGGATGGTGTTGAAAGCACTAGAGAAGTCAAAAAACATGACCCTCACAGTGCTGCCAGTGTTCTCCAAGTGAGCCATGGACCTCTGCAGCAGGTAGATGACAGCAGGTAGTTCGGCTGGTACGCAAACTGCAGAGGATCCAGATGAGAGCTCACCAGGAGGTGGAGGTTCCTCAGCATGATCCTCTCCAGAGTCTTTATCAGGTGAGAAGTGAGGGCCACTGAAGAAAAAATGGACCATGGCCACACCTGACCTCCACGAAGGTGACATTTGGGTCGGATCGTCAAGGCCATTCCAAGTTCGGACACCAAAGTCAGAAAGGTTGTAGTGAAGACTTGCAGCCAAGGTGTACCTAAGGAGTATCTTTGGCCTATTAGTGATGTTGTGTTGCTTGTGTCGAAGGTGTAATAGTAAACTGTGATATAATATGTTATACCAAGCGGGGAGTGTTCTGACTGCTTTCAGTGGGAAGTTCTGTTTTGAAAAATGTGTTTTTGGTGCACTGTTCCTTGAAGCCGTTAACGCCTGTTCATCACTACACACACACTCATGGTCGTCCGTCACTACACACACGCTCATGGTCGTTCGTCCCCACACACATACACACACTCATGTCTGTTAGTCTCCACTC